TATTGGACTATCTACTACCGAGGAAGTGTTTGTAATTGATTTTGATAAAATGACGTTTGGGAATAACAAAGGCCAAGTTCCGGTAACTGTTAAAAGAGAGGTTGAACAAATTAGGTGCCATCAAGGTGAAGTCAAAGTGACTGAAGAATAATCATAATACAAAGTCATAATTCAAATATAATTTCAATAATTCTTCAGAGGATTACACAAAATAATGATCTAAACAATTACAACAATTATAAGTTTTTACTTAAAAGTCTCTGATAAAGTTCTGGAAGACGTTCCAGTCACAGTAAGTCATCCACTGTTACAGGGCACACACCTTCCAGTAGGCGCAATGTTCATGTGGATACCAATGGTAATCACAAAACAGCCTTTCTGGATAGTCTAAATGTCTATACACCAGACAACCATACTTTTCGAGGTTGATACACTGGATCCTCAGTTGATGTTGTAATATTCTTGCCTTCTCTCTTCCCTTGGTATAGATCCTCACATAATCCTCACAGAGTTTCTGCTTAATGCGAAGAAGATCCAGTAACGAGTGATCTCCATCCCTCGATCGAATAACATGTAAGTATGTCGTGCACCAACTGATGTGTCGGCGATCTTCCGTACTTAAGTGGTCTTCCGGAAATGGCGGTCGGTAGCTACACACATCTGTCCATCCCGAACGGCAATCTTTAACAGCTAGTTCTTTGATCTAGTAGTTCCCATTCATCCGGAAGCCTTCTATTTCTGCTATCGCCCTCTTCGTCCCTGTTTCCTATGGTCATAAAGCATTATTACTAATTGTTCTTGCGAAGACCATTTAGTCACACCACTCGATCCATTCTCATTTCGATCACACACACACATGTACTTATTCGCGCACCACATAACCCGCGCACTTCATTCAAATCACTTCATGTCACAAACACTGTCAATCTGTACTTTGTTGATAACAGTTTCTGTCCTTTCAGATAGCTTATTTCTGGACTTGTTCTTACTGTCTGACTGTCTATTTTCATCATTTGGTTTTTCGTCACTGTCTGTTAATTTCTGTCATCTCTCGAACTTTTTTTTATACCTAATAATTTTGCATATCAATTTTGATTATTACCATCATTTAATA